GTATCTAGCAGGTAAACCAAAGGATGATGCTCAGACTTTCTTCTAATATCATTTTGCTTTTCTGTGCAGCCTCCTTTGGTGAAAACACAAACTGTGACCATCTCCAACGCTTCAGTCGCTGAGAAAGGGCAAATACCTACCAAGGAGGTTCCCTTGGTACACACAGAGACTAAAACAATCACATATGAAGCAGCAAAAGTAAGTATTGGTCTAAAGCCTTGTAGTTGTGGAAACAGTGCCCAGATTTCTTTAAAGCAGTATGCAGAATACATTAACACAGAACCAGGGATGTAAATATTACAGAAACTAGTGCCCTTAAAAATATTAAAACTGGGAATTAACGCTAAAACCTTAATAAACGAAAGTGTTCTACTTAAAGTGGAACTCCACTCTCTGTCAACGTGGACTATTTTTAGTCCTTATGCTGCTAGCATTAGTAAACAGATAGTAAAGTATGTCATATTTACTTGTTTTAAACATTTTTTACATGTCTTCAGTTACTTCCTGGTTTCCATGCCTAGGCAAATGATGTCATACACCCCAGCAGTTTTCAGGAGGGGAGGGAGGGTTCTCAGCTCAACCTATGCCTGAGCCAAGGGCAGATGGCTTCCAGGAAATAAATGATACATGAATCATCTGCCCTTATTGAAGATGGCCACTGCTAGAAATGTTTGGGGGTGTTTTTCAATATGATTTTTCAGCAAAATAAAGTATGGAGACATGGATGGATAGGTAAGTTTGCTATGAATATTAAAAATTAATTAAATAGCATTTTTGGTTTATGGTGCTCAGAATGAGTGCAGTTTCACTTTAATATTGTTTGCTGTTTTTTTTAAGATTCTACTTCTTCTACTACTACTACTACTACTACTACTACTACTACTACTACTACTACATACATACTTAGCGCAACATTTATTTATTTTATATCTGTTGGTTGAGAGGTGATATCCTCTGGGTGTGTTTTGCAGCTTTGAATAACGTGGGCGTGGGATATTTGTCTAGTTTATGTAATTAATTTTTCACTTTTGTAACATGCTTAGGTCTAAGTAAAGTAAAACTGCAATTCAGCAAAGGCAAATGACCGATTTTACTTTTCTTCTGGTGTAACAATTGTTTACCCCACACTTTTGCTCCCACAGTGCTACACAATGATACTGCCGCAGTCAGCACTGTCACATTGCCACTTCAGGGAACTCAGGCCTGGTGATTGCTTTCGAAGACACACAGGTGCTGCTTGGTGGAAGGGCAGGAGTGTTAGGCTACGTTCACAGTAGCCTTGTTAGCAAGCGGCAGACAGGCGTTTGGGAAGCGTTTTTACCGTTTCCCAAACGCCTGGGAAAATCCTGCACATTGCAGCACATGGTGCTGTTCAAACGGGAGCGTTAGCGTCGCGGCAAAACGGACACCTCTGGTCGAGTCAGGAGGAGTTGAAGCCTCCTATTCGAATCTATGGTGCCGCTCCGCAAACGCCCGGCTGACATTTGCGGTGCGGTTGCAGGCGTTTGCAGAGCGTTAACACCATTCAAACTTCATTATAGGCGTTTGTGGGGCATTTTTAATGCTTGGCAAACGCCTAACAACCTCCGCTAAACCGTGCATGCGGTGTTCGCGGAGCATTAAAAACGCTCTGCAAACGCCGGACCAACGCTTGTCAAACGCTATAGGGGCGTTTGGCAAGAGTTGGAAAAACAGTGAAGTGTGAACGAGCCCTTACATTTCTCAATACCTGAATGAAAGCAATAGGTATTCATTGAGTTAACTAGCTGGTGGTAGATTGAAGCATCAGGAAAGTGGATGAGAACTATTTTCTGTGTATGCTGTAAGAGCCAATGTGAACCTGTACGTGCAGGTTCCTTTTACTAATTTTCCAGCTAGTCTAACTACTGTTTTATAATACCTTATAAAAATGTTTTGAGTAAATTAGATTTAAATTGACCCCACACATTTTTCAATCGCTGTGTAATTGGATGTAGATATAGTGGAATTTGCAATCAGATTGTATTATTTTTTGTTGCTCAGTCATATTGTAAATATGCAGTATTTATTCCTTTTTCTATTAGTATGGGGGAATGTAGAAGGGTACATTAAGGGTATATTGTCCTAGCCTTACATTTTTGCTTCTTTTAACAGAGTGATGATGTTAACAATGATGGAGAACCTGGCATTCTGCTTACTGCCCACACAATTACCTCTGAAACAACCAGTAGTACCACCACAACTCAGATTACCAAGGTAAAGTGTCCTAGCTGATTTCACATTATTAACCACCTCCCGCTCGCCGCATAGGGAAATGACAGACGGGCGGGAGCTCTCTTGTTCTGGGAGGATGTCATATGACATCTTCCCAATCTAGCTGTGCATGTGTACCCCCGGAACATTCAGCGCGGTGATCGGTGATGCGCTGTGTCCCTAGGACACGGTGAATCGCCGATCTTGGTAAAGAGCCGATGACGTAGGCTCTACCCTGTGATCAGCTATGTCCAATCACATGTAAACAGGAAATGCCAGTTATCAGCGGTCCTCTCCTCTCGCTGACAGCGCATGAGGAGAGGAGAGCTGGTAAGCAGCATTCCTCAGAGGGGACATCTAATCATTGCTGCCAATCAGTGCCCATCAATGCCAAATATCAGTGCCCATCAGAGCTGCCTTTCAGTGCCCCGTTAGTGATGGCTGTCAATGCCCATCAGTGCAGTCTATAAGAACCCATCAGTGCCGCCTATTGGTGCCCGTCAATGCTGCCTATCAGTACCCATCACTGCTGCCAAGCCAGTGCTGCCTATCAGTGCCACATTTCAGTGCCTCCTTATCAGTGCAGGCTATCAGTGACTATCAGTCCTGCCTGTCAGAACTCATCAATGATGCCTGTCAGTAACCATCAGTGCCATCTATCAGTGCTGTCTACCAGTGCCACCTATCAGTGCAGCCTCACCAGCACACATCAGTGAAGGAGAAAAATTACTTATTTACAAAATGTTATAACAGAAACTAGGAAAAATGTTTCATTTTTCAAAATGATGTCTTTTTTTAGTTTGTTTAGCAAAAAATAAAAAAACCCAGTGGTGATTAAATGCCACCAAAAGAAAGCTCTATCTGTCTCAAAAAAAATGCTACAAATTTGGTTTGGGTACAGTTTTGCCTGTCTGCTCAATTGTCAAAGTGCGAAAGCACTGAAAGCTGAAAATTGGCCTGGGCAGGAAGGGGGTGAAAGTACCCAGTAGGCAAGTGGTTAAAAGGGGACCTAAATTCAACACGTGTACATACTGCACACGAATGGTAGGTGTATTGTAACACTGAGAGACAGAATAGCAACAAAAAATTCAAAAGAAATGCATGTCTAACAAATTGTGCACTGATTTTCATGTTCATGAGTGAAATAAGTATTTGATCCCCTATCATTCAGCAGCATTTCTGGCTACCAGGTGTCTTTCATACAGGTAACAAGCTGAGATTAGAAGCAGTATCTTAAAGGGAGTGCTGCTAATCTCATTTTGTTACCTGTATAAAAAGACACCTGTCCACAGGAGCAATCAAACAATCAGATTCCAAACTCTCCACCATGGCAAAGACCAAAAAACTGTCCAAGGATGACAGGGACAAGATTGTAGACCTACACAAGGCTGGACTGGGCTACCAAACTATCACTAAGAAGCCTGGTGAGAAGGTGACAACACTTGGTGCAATTATTCATAAATGGAAGAAACGCAAAACAATTGTCAGTCTCCCTAGATCTGGTGCACCATGCAAGACATGCAAGATCTCTTCTCGTGGAGTGTCAATGACCATGAGAACAGTGAGAAATCATCCCAGAAACTACATGTGAGGATCTTGTCAATGATCTCCAGGCAGCTGGGACCACAGTCACCAAGAAAACAATTGGTAACACACTACGCCGACAAGGATTAAAATCCTGCAGTGCCCACAAGGTCCCTCTGCTCAAGAAAGCATATGTTCAGGCCCGTCTAAAGTTTGCCACTGAACATCTGAATGATGCAGAGGAGGACTGGTTGAAAGTGTTGTGGTCAGATGAGACCAAAATCAAGCTCTTTGCATCAACTCAACTTGTCGTGTTTGGAGGAGGAGGAATGCTGCCTATGACCCCAAGAACACCATCCCAACTGTCAAACATGGTGGTGGAAACATTCTGCTTTGGGGATGTTTTTCTGCTAAGGGGACAGGACAACTGCATCACATCAAAGGGACGATGGACAGGGCAATGTACCGTCAAATCTTGGGTGAGAACCTTCTTTCCTCAGCCAGGGCATTGAAAATGGGTCGTGGATGGGTGTTCCAACATGACAATGACTCAAAACACACAGCCAAGGCAACAAAGGAGTGGCTCAATAAGAAGCACATTAACCACTTGCCTACCAGGCACTTATACTCCCTTATTTACCAGGCCAATTTTCAGCTTTCAGCGCTGCCGCACTTTGATGACAATTGCGCGGTCATGCAACATTGTACCCATATGAAATTTTGATCATTTTTTTCTCACAAATAGAGCTTTCTTTTGGTGGTATTTAATCGCCACTGGGCGCTTTACTTTTTGCGCTATAAATAAAAAAAGTGCAAAAAATTTGAAAAAAAAAAAAAGTTTCTTTGTTTCTATTATAAAATTTTTCAAACAGGTATTTTTTTCTCCTTCACTGATGTGCGTTGATGAGGCAGCACTGATGGGCACTGATAGGCGGCACTCATGGGCACTGATAGGCAGCACTAAACGGCACTGATAGGCAGTACTAATGAGGTGGCACGGATAGGCGGCACTGATAGGTGACACTGATGATGGGTACTTAGGCAGCACTAAACGGCACTGATAGGCAGCACTAATGAGGTGTCATGGATAGGTGGCACTAATATGCAGCACTGATAGGCGGCACTGATAGGTGACACTGATGATGGGTACTGATAGACGGCACTGACTGGCATCACTGCTGGGCACTGACTGGCGGCACTGACTGGCACAACCACTGGGCACTGACTGGTGGCACTGACTGGCAGCACTGCTGGCTGCACTGGTGGGTGGCACTGGTGGGCAGCACTGGTGGGTGGGCACAGGTGGGTGGCACTGGTGGGCACAGGTGGGTGGACACAGGTGGGTGGCACTGCTGGGCATAGGTAGGTGGCATTCTGGGCACAGTTGTGGGACACTGCAGAGTGGCACAGGTGGGTGCACTGCTGGGCACAGGTGGGTGCATCTGCTGGGCACAGGTGGGTGATCTGCTGGGCAGCAGTGGGCGGAGCTAGTGGGGGCGCACTGCTGGGCACAGGTGGGCGGAACTTGCGGGTGGCACTGCTGGGCACCGATCATCAGGGCACTGATCATCAGTGCCCTGATGATCGGTGCCGATCCCCGCTCTGACAACTGCCGGTTCTCGGCAGTACTTTCCTCACGATCTGACAGCGTGAGGAAAGTGCAGCCGAGAACCAGCACTTGCATTTCCCTCTGATCAGCGTGTCATTGGACACCGCTGATCACGTGGTAAAAGGCCGCTGTGATTGGCTTTTTACCACATCACGTGATCAGCTGTGTCCGTAGGACACAGCGATCACGGAGATCGCCGGGCGCGCAGGAGAGCGCGTTCTGGGAGGACGTCATATGACGTCCACTCAGAACTGGCCGGCCGCAGTGCAGTCGTCATTCGGCTATCTGCGGTCAGCAACTAGTTAAGGTCCTGGAATGGCCTAGCCAGTCTCCAGACCTTAATCCGATTGAAAATCTGTGGAGGGAGCTGAAAGTTCGAGTTGCCAAACGTCAGCCACCAAACCTTAATGACTTGGAGAGGATCTGCCAAGAGGAGTGGGGCCAAAATCCCTCCTGAGATGTGTACAAATCTGTTGGCCAACTACAGGAAACGTCTGACCTCTGTGATTGCCAACAAGAGATTTTCCACCAAGTACTAAGTAATGTTTTGTGAAGGGGATCAAATACTTATTTCCCTCATGAACATGCAAATCAGTGCATAATTTGTTAGACATGCATTTCTTTTGAATTTTCTGTTGCTATTCTGTCTCTCAGTGTTACAATACACCTACCATTCAATTTTTAGACTGATGATTTCTTTGTGAGTGGGCAAATATTCAAAATCAGCAGGGGATCAAATACTTATTTCCTTCACTGTATACAGTATTTAGGGTGCATGATAGGAGTGGTAGAATGTATAAAAATGTCCATGGCTCTTCACTTTTGAATATGTGACTTAAGTCTTGGACAGTGACAGCAAATAGTTGGGTCTTCAGTGACCGAACATTCGAAGGATGTCCCAAAGAGCAGAACTGCTAAGGGTCATATGACCCCATGCTAGCTTGAGGTCTTGTGAGTAAAAACCTAAGTACAAAAGAATCTGTTTACAGAGAAGCTGTGCCTTGCCGATGCAGAGAAAGCAAAGGTTTACTCTAACCATCCCCAGCAACATGCAGTCACCTTCCCATTGCTATGTTCAGTGCTGTTGCAGGAGTTCTGCACTGTGTAAGCAACGAGGCACTCAAGACAGGGTTATGGATTCTCTACATGTGACTGTGCTGGTGCTTGGTGACTGATCCAGCTATATCACATTCTCATGCATAATTGAATGTATTAGATTTTTAGTTTCTATGCTCCTGGCTGCTGAATTGAGCAATGGAGATTGTAGGAAAGGTGAAAATGTTCTGCAGATGAGGAGTAGCGAAAACAAACCTTCGCCCATAAAGATCCCCTCTCAGTCCCCCTAAGACTTACCTGAGCCCCATCCTGATCCAGCAATGTGCACAAGAGCCTCGGCTCTCCCAGTTTTCTCATTGGCTGAGACAGTAGCGGTAGCCATAGGCTCTCACTACTGTCAATTACAGCCAGTGAATCAATGAGGAGAGGGGGGGGGGGCTGAGCCACGCTCCATGGACACACGGGGCAGTGGCTCGGGAGCCCCTATAGCAACCTGCTAGCTGCGGGGGTACTTGGCAGGAGGGTGGGGCCTGGAGTACATGCGAGGGACCCAAGAAGAGAAGGATCAGAGCTGCTCTGCGCAAAACCACTGTTTGTTTTGACATGTTTGTTATTTAAAAAAAAAAAAAAAAAAACATTTAACTCTTTCGCTGCCATGTTCGTATGCTGTACGGACCTGACAGCAGGGGTTTTTATACACAATCCAATGGCTCAGCCACCGGGATTGTGTATAAGTCTGACAAGCAGACTCCTGCCTGTCAGGTGGAAGCATTCAAGCAGCTCCGCTGATCGCTTAAACAGGTTCCGATGCTGCTCCCCTCCCCTTCTTTGTGTGACCTGAAAGGCGACATCCATGACATCACTTTTGGGTCACGGCTGTCACTTTCCTGGCTAGAGTAGCAAGGGTTAATATCACTTTAAATTATAGGGGACAGGCAAGTTTATTCACATTTTAAAATCCCTAACTTCATGGCTGCTACCTTTTGGACTGACCAAAGCAATTTAAAGGCTTGCTTTAAAGTCTACTGTTAACAAAAAAGATCAGAACCTCGGACGTTGACATTTACTATTCAGTGCACATTAGATGTTCTCTTCTTCGCTGCCTAGGAGGAAATTATCAAGTTTCCTAGGTTCTGTGTATTCATCTCTCCCTTATTAACCACTTCCTGACCGGCCGTTGCATATAAACGGCCAGACGGTGGCACTGCAGGGTCGGGTGGCCGTTTATAAACGGCCTCCCCGCACCCTGCTTGTGCGCGCTCCATGGGAGTGCGCAGCACCGCGATCCGGTGCCCGCTGTGTCCTCCGGACACAGTGAAACACCGATCGTCGGACAGGACCTCTGTATGAGGTCCCGATCATGTGATCGCTGATTGGCCAATCAGTGATCACATGCAAAGTAGTAAGCAAGATGTCACTTGTGACATCATTGCTTACTACGTGTGAAATCACCATGAGGTCACATGGTACAAGGCATTCACAACAGCCTTGTACCATGTGACAAGCTGTGACCAATCACAGCTCACTCAGTACTTCTCAATGAGTGCAAGAATGCAGACAGAGAAAAAGAGAAATGATTGCTTTTACATCCTATATGGGTGTAAAAGCAATCAGTGTAAAAAAAAAATAAAAAAAAATCTTCATCACCCCCCACAAGTAGTACAGTGTCACCATGGTGACACTGTACTGCTAGGGTGACAGTATGTAAAAAAAAAATAATATAAAAAAATAAAATAAAAATGTAAAACAAAATTTTTAAAAATTATAATTTTTGGTTATAAACTAATTTGGTTTTTTTTTTTTACTAAAAAGATAATGGAATAAATTTTGGCCAAGATTTATGATGAAATATTATTTATTTGCAAAATTTTATTTAAAAAAAACACTTTTTTTCAAAATTTTTGGACTTTTCATTTACATAGCAAAAAAAAATAAAAATCCCAGCGGTGAATAAATACCAGAAAAATAAAGCTTTATCTGTCTCAAAAAATGGTAAAAAATTCATTTGGGTACAGTGTTGCATGACCATGCAATTGTCATTCAAAGTGTGATAGTGCTGAAAGCTGAAAATGGCCCTGGTCAGGAAGGGGGTAAAAGTGTCCGGTCTGGAAGTGGTTAACTGTAGTTAATAAAATACCAGAAAATATTTTTCAACACACCCTCCTTCTAGGTTGGAATATGCTTGCATTTGCAGCTCATTAGGTTTTGCGCTGTGAAAAAAACCCTAATTTTTGTCAGCATTACTCAGAAATGTCTTGCCATGTATCGTCTTTTTCTTAATCAGGTTCACTTGTTTTCTCTAGACTGTGAAAGGTGGTATCTCTGAGACTCGAATAGAGAAGAGAATAGTCATCACAGGTGATGGAGACCTGGATCATGACCAGGTAACTGGTGACTTTTTGAGTTAAATATGTGTAATACTATATAGACATTTGGAGAAAACAGGAATACCTTTCTGACTGTAATAAATATCACAACTCATCAGGTTTTGGTTCAAGCAATCAAAGAAGCAAAGGAGCAGCATCCTGATATGTCCGTAACCAAAGTGGTTGTTCACCAAGAGACTGAAATAGCAGAGGAATAATCGATACAGGTAAATTGTGCCTACAAATCGCACACCAACTCTCTCTCCCTCTGGGTAATCTATATACATTGCAAGTACACTGCTCAAAAATCAGAAACTCAAAATCAGAGTATAGCATCAAGTCAAATAAACTCATGGGATATTGATCTGGTCAGTTAAGTATCAGAGGGGGTTGTTAATCAGTTTCAGCTGCTTTGGTATTATTTAAATTAACAGGTGCACTAGATGGGCAACAATGAGATGGCCCCCAAAACAGGAATAGCTTTACAGGTGGAGGCCACTGACATTTTTTTCCCTACTCATCTTTTCTGACTGTTTTTCACTAGTTTTGCATTAGGCTAGGGTCATTATTCACTTCTGGTAGCATGAAGCGATATCTGGACCCTACAGAGGTTGCATAGGCAGTCCAACTCCTCCAGGATGGCACATCAATACATGGCATTGCCAGAAGGTTTGCTGTGTCTCCCAGCACAGTCTCGAGCATGGAGGAGATTCCGGGAGACAGGAAGTTACTCTAGAAGAGCTGGACAGGGCCGTAGAAGGTCCTTAACCCATCAGCAGGACTGGTATCTTCTCCTTTGTGCAAGGAGGAACAGGATGAGCTCTGCCAGAGCCCTACAAAATGACCTCCAGCAGGCCACTGGTGTGAATGATCAAACAATCAGAAACAGACTTCATGAGTGTAGCCTGAGGGCCCGATATTCACTTGTGGGCATTGTGTTCACTACCTGGCACCATAGAGCTCGATTGGCATTTGCCATTGATCACCAGAATTGTCAGGTCCGCCACTGGCACCCTGTGCTTTTCACAGATGAGAGCAGGTTCAACCTGAGCACATGTGAAAGAGTGTTGAGAACATTATGCTGCAGGTAACATCGTTCAGCATGACCATTTTGGTGGTGAGTCATTGCCGATCTGGGGAGGCATATATCAATGGAGGGACATACAGACCTTTACAGGCTAGACAATGGCACCCTGACTACCATTAGGTATCGGGATGAAATCCTTGGACCCATTGTCAGACCCTACGCTGGTGCAGTGGGTTCCTCCTGGTGCACGACAATGCCCGGCCTCATGTTGCGAGAGTATACAGGCAGTTCCTGGAGGATGAAGGAATTGATACCATTGAATGGCACCATGCTCGCCTGACCTAAATCCAATAGAACACCACTGGGATATCATCTTTCAGTCCATCCGACACCATCAGGTTGCACCTTCGACTGTCCAGGAGCTCAGTGATGCCCTGGTCCAGATTTGGGAGGAAATACCCCAGTACACCATCCGTCGTCTCGTTAGGAGCATG